CTCACCTCAGCCTCCCAAAGGCGCGGGATTACAGGCTGAGCCACCGAGCCCAGCTGCACACACACTTTTATGTGGGTGCCTTCCTGCCCCTCGTGGGAGCCCCCTTCCCACCACTGCCCTGGGTGTCAGGTGGACTGACCCGTGCGTCCCCAGCGTCAAGCTGTGTGGCTTGCTTGGTCCCCTCCTGGGATCTGCAAGGGCACTGGGCAGGGGTGCCTGGGTTGGGCTGGGCGCTTTGCCCAGGGTCTTCATTTACTCGGACTCAGGGAGGTCACAGGCTTTGCTGGGTGGAGGCCCGAGGGGCCAGCGGTGTCTGCCCAATGGACATGGGGTTTTCAGGGGCTGATCCTCCCTTCTCGCCTGGCAGTGGGGTGGGCATTGGCGGGGCCGCCTCTGTCAGGGCTGCTGGATGTAGGGTCCTGGCCCTGAGCGGCATCCGGGAGGCCTAGCCTCCTGCTCGGGATAGGTGACCTTGGGCCAGGACGCCTGAGCAGGGCGTGTGTCCTCAGGTGCTGGCTCCTGACCGCACACAGCATTCGGATGGAGGTTGGCTGGGCTGCTGCCGACACGAGGGCGAGCCTGGCTGGTGCGGAGGGCTGGCCCACGGCAGCTGTCCAGCGGGTCTCCTAGGTCACTGCGTGGAATATGAAGTTTACAAGCAGGACCTGTTGTGGACTCACGCCTCGAGGGCAGAGTTCAGTGTTGGGTGTTGACAGCCACGCTGGAGATGGGAGTCTGCTGGGGGCACAGGGAGCCCAGCGGGACTGAGGCCGGGTGACTCACTTGGGAAGGGACGAGCGGGTCTCCAGGGCAGCAGGCCAGGCCGGGGTGGGCGACCCGTAGGAACTGGATTGGGGCCTGGTCTGCCTAGGGCAGAGCTTGAGGCGGAACTCCCTTCAGAGAAGACTGTGCAGGACGGCTGCTCAGGGTGGTGAGGCCGCCTGGATGGCCCGTCCAGACCCAGGCTGCCCCATCCATGGCGGCTGGCTTCCGGTGGGCTGGGGTTCCTGGGAGCTGGGCTCCTGCGGGGCTGGGTGAGCAGGCCCCTCAGGTCCCTCTGGGTGGAGGGCGATGGCAAGACCACATTCCCGTGGGAAGGGCGTACGCTGCCTGTGACTTCCTTGTGGCACTTGCCGCCTGCTGGCCCTGGGGGTGTGTAGGAGTGGGCCCTGGCACCCGGTGGCTCAAGCCTGGCACACGGCCATCTGCTTCCTTGTTCTCTCCTTGGCGGTTTCTTTGGAGTAACAGTGGTGGAAGGGGTGTGGCTTCTGATGACCTGTGTGGGCTGGGGTGTTTGCTAAGGCCTGGGGCAGGGACTTGGCTTCCTGTGTTCTGGGGTGTTCTCGGGCAGAACCCCTCAGGCAGGCTTGGGCATGACTCAGGCGCTGGAGGCGGGTCATCAGCGGCTGAGGGACAGTGGCCGCCCAGGCCTGCATTTTCACGGCTCAGAGCTGCATCCTGAGCTGGTGACCACCGTGCCGTGGGTGGGGCCAGGCCCCCGGGCTGGAGCTTGTCCATGGGATGCATGCGTGTGTGTGTGTGTGTGTGTGTGTGTGTGTGTGTGTGTGTGGTCACTGTGCCGGCTGAGGCCTAGAGCTGTCCTTGCATTCCTGTAGGGTGTTGGTGCCGCCCAGGGTACATGCCCACCCTAGTCTCCACTCAGAAGGGCATCTTCAGGGTGCCATGGGCCTGAGAGGGAGGGTATCTGCGAACCTCGAGTGTTCTCTCTGTGCCTCACCAGGAGCTGGCCTGTGACAAGGGTAGCCGTGACCTCTCTTCTCTCTGGCTCTATCTGCAGGTCTCTGGCGCCGGCGGGCCGGGCCGGGCTCTCAGGGAGGCTCAGAGAAACTCCAGCGGCCGCCGGGGAGGGATTGGGTGGCATGGAGTCAGGGGAACTGGCGCCAGCTGCTCTGGGTTCCTGCATTCCGCCGGGCCTGACCATAGCCCAGACGTGGTAACTGAGCCGCCCCCAGGGCCTGGCATGCCCTGCCCTCCACCTGCCGCCTCCCTCCTGCCTTTGCCCCGAGCTGGGCACTGGGGGACCAGACCCCTCCTTTTCCCTCCAGGACTCGGATCCTGGGAGGAGAAGCTGGGCTAGGACCAGCAAACAGCCACGTGACGGGGAGGAGGAGGATGGGGAGGAGGGGTTGTGGGGAGGGCGGGGGTGCGGCGAGGAGGGACTCTCAGGAAAGAAGGGATATGGGGGTGCAGGGAGGAGCATCCAGAGGAGGGGATGTCAGGAAGGGGTTGTTGCAAGGAAGAGGGGCTTGGGAGGGAAAGAAGGGTGGGGAGAGAAGGCGTGTAGGAGGGAAGGGGAGGAATGCAGTAGAGGGGTGCGGGGAGGGGGACTGTCAGGAAGGAGGGGTGTGGAATCGAGATCCCCAGAGGCTCTGTCCCACAAGGGGCATGGCCTTCAGACAGAAAGTTCTGGAACCAAGCGCTCGAGCTGCGTTCCTGTGTCTGCCTGTGTGCTGGGCTCCCTGCCTTGTGGGTCATGCCGTCTGGTGGTTGTAACCCTTGGACCTTTCTACAGGTGTGTGTGTATTGCCACGAGTGTGTGTGAGCATGTGTGCACACATATGCACGAGTGCCTGTGTGTGTCCATGTGAGCATGTATCTGGACACATGCGGGAGTGTACATGTGCACGTGTGCTTACGTGTGTGCATATGATGCATGGTGTGCTTGTGAAGTGAGCATACATATGAATTGGTAGCTGTGTGTGTGCATGTGCATGTGTGTAAGCTGAGCGTATGTCTTGTGTGAATGAGTGGGAAACTGAGCCTGTGTGTGTGTGTGTGCGCGCGCATGCGTGTCAGCGTGCTGTGTATGTAAGAGCATGTCTGTGTGGGTATGTGTGTGACTTGTGAGTGGTGTGTGCATGAGGTGAGTTTTATGTGTGAACGAGTGGGTAACTGAGCAACTGTGTGTGCATATATATGTGTGTGAGTGTGTGTGTGGTGTATGTATGAACGTGGATATGTGTTATACACACATGCATGAGTGTGACTGTTCTGTGTCACGTGTGCATGTGGTGAGCGTATGTTGGCGTGGCTTGTATGTGTGCATGAGTCTGGCCACAGCCTGTGGGACTCCACCCGTGGGTGGCCTCGGTGTCTTGCAGGGCCCTGGATGGTAGGCATGTGTCTTCGATGCCTGCCTGGCTCTGGGCTGGCATGGGTGTTGGGTCTGAGACGGCGCCAGGTGCTGTCTGCACCGACTGTTGGCCCCAGGGCCTTTGAGCTGTGAGGAGTGGGCTTGGTGGCCTGGGTGGCCTGGGCCATCTGCCCACAGGCAAAGCATGTGGGTCCTGTCAGTGACTGGAAGCTTCTCCCAACTCCCCCCAGATTCTCCACATCTTTCCTGTGTTTCCCAAGAGCCTTTGCTCCTCGGATGTGGGCTGGGTGGGCAGGAGTGGGAGGGTGCCTCGGTGCCTCAGGGGCCTCAGCAGCTGGTTCTCCCCACCCCTGGCTTGTCCCTATAGGAGCCTCCTGGGGGGCACGGGCCCCAGGCCCAACTCATGTGTCACACAGTGTGTGCAGGGACCCCAGGGCATGTGGAGGACCAGGGTGTGTGTGGGAACCTTGGGGTGTGCTTGGGGACAGGTGTGCACGGGCACCCTGGAGTGTGTGTGGGAAGCCCAGCATCAGGGCGACTGTGCCCCATCTCTGCATGGAAGTCCCCTCCTCGGGTGCCTGTGCCCGTGCCACGTGAGTCTGAAGGGTCACGCTTTTGCTGGAGGAAGGCCGGCCGGCCAGGGCGCATGGGCCAGAGGGAGTGGGATTCCTGTCCTACCTGGGCGCCTCTGCAGTGACCGGCCGGGTGGGGAGGGTGAGACCGCTCCCAGCTGCTTACCCCTCAGTCTCCTGGTAGCCCACCGGAGGTTCGGTGGGTCCTCCCCTCACTGACTCCAGAAGAGAATGTGGAGTGGGGGGGAGGTGCCGTGTCCCAGTGGGTGGGCTGTGGGCCATTCTCCACATCCCTGCCTCCACCAGTTCGTTCCTGCCCCAGCGGATGCTTGCTGAGTGCGTGAGTGCTTGGCGCTGCCTGGGCCCTCCTGCCTGGATGCAGGACTCCTCTTCAGGCTGTCCTCCAGGGCTCACGGCCCTGATGGCCTTTGGAATGCAGCTGCCGGGTGTGAAGGGCAGAGACCAGGAGCCGGGCAGAGGCGGGGAGAGAGATGAGGGGCCGGGAGGGGGAGATGGGGAAGAAGAGGAAGGGCGATGGGAGAGAGACGGGGAGGTAGGTGGTGGGGAGATGGGGGGTGCAATGGGGGGGTGCAGCTGGGAGATGGGGGAGACAGGAGGCTCATGGGGGCCTTGTCCTCTGAGCAGAGGGGAGGAGTGTGTCTGCTGGGGGCAGCCGACCTCCCCCTGAGGGAGCAGTGTCCGTGGCTGGACAGGGCAGCGGTCAGGATCTGCCCAAGAGCGTTTTCCCTGCTGCTGCCATAGGTGGGAGCGTCATGGTTTACATCTGGTGTCTTGGGATTCTTTGCCAGGACCATGTGCCCTAGGTGTCCTTTGCTGGTTGGTAGGAGGGTGTCCTCGGGCCTGGGAGATGCTGTGACCTTCCCAGGCATCCCTGAAAGACACATGCCTGAGCCTGGATGCCACGTCCCGCCGGTGTGTTGGAGCTGCTTTGGGGCGTCTCCCTAGATGGGGTTGGTGTGCTGGTTCCTGCATCTTTTTTTTTTTTTTTTTTTTTGAGTTGGAGTTTCACTCTGTCGCACAGACTGGAGTGCAGTGGCCGCTCCCGGCTACCGCAGCCTCGACCTGCTGGGCTCCGGCGATCCTTCCACCTCACCCTTCGAAGTAGCCGGAACTACAGGTGTGCGCTACCACACCCGGCTCATTTTTGATTTATTGTAGAGATGAGGTCTCGCCAAGTTGCCCAGGCGGGTCTCAAACCCGCGGGCTCAGGCAATCCACTCACCTCAGCCTCCCAAAGGCGCGGGATTACAGGCTGAGCCACCGAGCCCAGCTGACTCCTGCTTCTTATTCCTTCCTGTGCAGCTGAAGGATGGGGCGGGTGAACGGAGGCTTCTTGCAGAAGGTTGTGCTTCTGGGAACCAAATGCATGCGGCCGGCTGAGCTTCCCGAGGACCCAGGGCAGCTGAGCCCAGGTGGCACTCCTTCGAGGTTGCTGATGGCCATGGGGGCCTAAGTCAAGCCGCACTCCACCAGGGGTGCTGGCAGCCATGGGGGCCTGAGTTGAGTCCTGCTCCATCAAGGGCGCTGGTGACTGTGGAGTCCTGAATTGAGCCGTGCTCCATCAGGGGTGCTGACAGCCATAGGGGCTCTGAGGCTGAGAGAAACTTGAGACCCGGAAGCCGCGACTTTGCCCAAGGTTGTAAGCGTGGGCTGGCCCCACAGAGGGCGAACCTGAAACCCTCCCGTCTCTGCAGGCAGCTGACCTGCTCCTGGTCTGGAAAAGACTTTCAGCTCCCTTTGACTCCAGTGAGACCATGGAGAGACTGACTCTCCGGATGGCTGGTCGCAGTGTCCTGAAGCACCTTGAGATTGGTGCAGCGGGGCAGGGCCTCAAGGGGTCCCCTTGGAAGGACACTGCAGTTTGTGGAAAGCGCCTTGGAAACTTCTCTTTGGTTGAGTGTGTTTGTATTTTTTCCTTGCCTCTGACTTGACATAGCCTCAGACTTCAGAAGGTTGCAGGAGGAGTGCTAAGCATTTCCGTGTGCCCTCTGCCTCAGTTTCCCAAGTGCCACCCTTGTGCTGGTTGCTCCATGTCTCCCCCACCCACTGTCTGGGTCTCTGTCTCACACGTGCTTTCTTCTCAGCTGCTTGCACGGGGCAACTGGCATGATGCCCTAGGGTGTATTTCCTAAAAACAAGCATGTTTCTTCCGAAACCTCCGCGGTGTCGTCACGCGGGTCAGCGTCAGCCCAGCAGAGCTCCCTGGGATTTTACTGAGCCTGAGCATCCTCCATAAGCAGAAACTTAGGGCCGTGTATGATGTTGGTGGCCATCTCCTTCAGTCTGGGCCTCTCCCCATGGCACTTCTGAAGGGGCCTGGCCGCCGGGGGCGTCCCTGGGTCTGCATCGCCTGGTATTCACAGTCCTGCTCCACGACCCACACTTCTGAGGACATGGTCTTCTTGCAGGTGCCGAAGTGGGAGTGTGCCCACCTGGCTCGTGATGGTGACACCTGCTCATTCCCTATAGCTGGGGCCTGTTGGGTTCTGGGAGGCCCGGCCTATGCCTCTGGCTCCTGCTTGGCCCTGGCAGCCATCACCAGTCTGCCCTGAGGGACCGTGGTGATAGTTGCTCTGGGCAGTTTCTGTCTCCTTGAGCCACTGTGTGGTTGGTGGCTTTCTACCTGTGTCCCCTCTGTTCCCTATTTACATCGTGGGGCTTTTGGGCCTGAGCTGTGTGCCATGGCTTGCGGTTCTTGATGCCTGGACTGTCTCAGGCAGCTGGCGGGACCATGGTCAGTGTGATTAGCGCCCGCCCTGCCTGTCCACACAGCATGTCACTCTGGGACACGTCCATCCCCCCGGCATCCTTCCCCTGCCCCTACCAGGAACTGTCTCTTGGGGCCCTGGGTTGTCCACAGGCAACTTCCATTGGTGCTCAGGAACCGAGGCCTGGGTGCTGGGAGGTCATGAGCGCACATGTGTATATGTGGATGTGCATGGTGACGTGTGTGCTCTGTGCACGCCTGTGGGGAGATGGAGCCCTCGTGCTCACCAGGGTGCCTCCAGTTCCGTGCCCACCCTGGTGTTGGACCCATGTTCTGGGAGCGAGGTCCTGGCCCTGTGGCCTGTGGATCGGGGTCTGCCCAAGTGCCCACTGCACTTTTACAGACACACAGCGGGTGGCCCTGGCACTGTCTCTGTGTCTCTGGGGCAGGGCCCACGTGTGCTTGTTGGGGCTTCGCGCCCTTTGCGGCCAGCCAGGCGGGTGTGCAGTGCTGTGAAGCGCGGGGTGGGCTGAGTGAGTTTGGCTGTGCGCTGTAGGTGCGTGCCACCAAGCCTATGTGCAGGGCCGCCACCTCATTCTCTCTGCAGCCCACCAAGCTGAGCTGCAGGTGTGCAGCTTTCCAGAAGGGGGTGGGACCTGCTGTAGCTGCAGGTGCCATGTGTCCTGGCAGTGGCGCCATTGGGACCTGCCGGGGAGGTGCCCAAAGGCCTCGGGTGAGTGGCGCGGAGGTAGGCAGCTGCACCCAGGGTGGGTGGGGCAGGCGGGGGTGCTGTGCGGGGCTGTGCCTCTCCACGGCCCCCACGGGTGCGGCTGCCAGGACAGGCCTCCTTGGCCTTCCCATCCTGGGGCGGTTCCTGCAAAGGTGCTTGAGGCTCCCAGGCGGGCACATGGCAGCGGCTGATGGGCAGCTCAGGCAGTGGTGCCCGACAGGTGCCACGCAGAGAAGGCCCAGGCTGCACCTACTGCCAGCCTTGTCGCCTGCCTTCCTGCCTGCTCCTCCTGGCACCTGCGTGGGGCCGTTCATCTGTCCCTTCACCATCTTGCCCCGTGCAGAGCGGGAGCTGGGGGAGCCCGCAGGCCCGCGTGGAGGGCAGGCCAGGTATGCCTGGGAGCATGTGGGCCCCACGCTGGGTGTGAGGGGCTGTGCTCCGGGTGTTGGGCAGACCTCCCAGGCACAGATGGGTGGGAGGCTGACATGGCAGGGGCCCTTCGATGCAGATGCCGACCAGGCTGCAGGGGAATAGCCTTGGGCCTCAGCCTTCCCGTAAGCCCTGCCCCCTCACTACCTCCCACGGCCACTAGGGCCTGATACCTGAGTCCTGGAGGGGACACAGGCATTCAAGCCCGGACACGTGTGTTCCGTGTCACCAGGGAAGGATGATGGTGCCATGTGCTGCCCTGGGCAGTAGCCGCTGGTGGTTCTCAGAGCCGAGGGGCCTCAGCCCTGCTGACAGTCACCGGGCGGCCACCCGCCCTTGGGAGGGGGTGCAGGAGTTCGTGCAGCTGAGAGGCCAGTGCCTGCTCTTGGGGCCGTCGGCATCCTCACCAGGAACAGAGCGAGAAACCTGCTTCCCTAAAAGCTGGTGGCTGCGGCAGTGGGGCTAGGAGACTCAGCCGACACCTGGAAAGTGGGATTTTACCAGTGCTCCATGGAGTGAGCAATTTTTTTTTTCTTTTTTCTTTTTTTTTTTTTTTGAGTTGGAGTCTCACTGTCACTGAGGCTGGAGGGCAGTGGCACGCTCACGGCCACCACAGCCTCACCCTGCGGGGCTCAGGCGATCCTCCCGCCTCAGCCTTCCAAGTAGCTGGAACCACAGGCATGTGCCACCATGCCCGGCTAGAGTGAGCAACTTTCAAAGCCAGGAGGACGTGCAGTCCCATGGTGCCTCTGGGTGCCTGCCTCGTGCCACTGCCTACTGCATGAGAGTCAGTCAGTGTGTGTGCTGGGAGCACACGTGACCATCTTTGGGACATGGATGCAGGGGAGGAAGGAGTTTGTGACAATCAGGTGTCGCACTTTGCTGAGGACCCAGGGTGATGCCCCTGTGCCCGTGTGGCCCTTGGCTCCTTTTTCTGGTCCCTTCTGCATTGACCCCGAGCTGCTTTTCCCTCAACAGGCGATGGCTTTCCCCGAGAAAACAGTCCCTTCATTGGTGGCATGGAGGTGGAGAGGGAGAGCTTCTTTGAAGGAAAGAACATGGCGCTGTTTGAGGTGACTGCTTCTATCAGGAGGAGTCAGGCGGTGGCTTTTGTGTTCTGGGCTGGCAGGAACCAAGGGCCAAGGTGGGCTCCCTCCAGCCCGGATGCCGTGCTGGGAGGAACTGGGGCTGTCCCATCCTGATGGCCACCGAGGGAGCCCAGTCCTGCACCTATGTGAGGTGTGGCCCTCGGCAGTGCTGCTTCCTGAGGGCCTCCCGGGCCTGAGGTGCCAGCCTGAGGGAGCCCCTCGGGACTGTGGGGTCCTGGGCATCTCGGGAGCCTGGCCCTCCCTGGTGGGTGGTCCCGTCTGGCACAGCTTGAGTCCCTGCCTCAGACCCAGGCCCGTCGGGCGCCCAGCCCCACACAGGTGTCTGGACCTACTGGATCATGTCAGATCCCCGTGTGCCGGGGCCAGGTCAGAGCTTGAGAGTGGGCAGGTGTCCGCAGGGCTCTGGGACCTCGGCACATGGGGGTCGGGTGCCCGGCTGACCTGAGACTGGCGTCCTCGGCTGACAGGAGGAGATGGACAGCAACCCCATGGTGTCCTCGCTGCTCAACAAGCTGGCCAACTACACCAACCTGAGCCAGGGCGTGGTGGAACATGAGGAGGACGAGGAGAGCCGAAGGCGCGAGGTCAAGGTACCATCCCGTCCTGCCCCACCTGTCCCCCACCTCCCGCCCCGGCCCATGGCCACGTGCAGCCTGGCCCTTGCTGTGACACAGCAGCATCAGCCAGGGCGGGCTCCTTGTCTCGGGCTCAGGGTCACAGACTGCCTTTTCTTCCCACAAGGGCAGTGGCACCAGCTCTCTTGGGTCCATGCTCTGTCCTCCCTCCCACGTCCAGGGAAACACGACACCCCTGGAGCCTGTGCCCAGGTGGTGGTCGGGTTTCGTCCTTGAGAGGGGAGCCTGTGGTGTCCTGTTCATCCTGCAAGGGGCCCTGCTCCTTCTCAGAGGAAGCCTGTTGGGAGGTGGGTGCTGGGCACAGATGGCCAGGAGGCCAGGCACGAATGGTTGACTGGCGGGGCACAGAGGGGCAGGGAGGCAGGGTGTGGAGGAGGGGGACGAGCACAGATGACCAGGGAGCACTCAGAGGGCCGGGGAGGCCCAGTGCAGAGAACCAGGGAGGCTGGGTTGGCATTCTTCCCGAGAGGGGGCGTGGGCCCAGGGCTCCCACAGGAGCTAGATCCTGGCACTTCATCTCTTGGGGGTTTGTTTCCAGGGATCTGTCCTAGGACACGAGTGGCTGCAGTGAGTGTCTTGGAGAATGATGTTTCCTTTTTTTTTTTGAGTTGGAGTCTCACTCTGTCACCCAGACTGTAGAGCAGTGGCCGCTCCCGGCCACCGCAGCCTCGACCTGCTGGGCTCCGGCGATCCTTCGCCTCAGCCTTCCACGTAGCTGGAACTACAGGCATGTGCTTCCATGCCCATCTGATTTTTTGATTTATTGTAGAGATGAGGTCTCGCCAAGTTGCCCAGGCAGGTCTTGAACCCGCGGGCTCAGGCAGCCCACTCCCCTCGGCCTCCCAAAGCCTGGGACTACGGGCTGAGTCACCAAGCCTGGCCGAGAATGATGTTTCCTGGGGAGATTTTTTTGAAAGAGCAGGGTGTGAATGGCACTGTGGTAACCCAAGGGAGGGTCTGGCTGTGGTGCTGTGGCGGCTCTGGGGCTGTGGACCCGAGCGCCGCCGGTTGGGACTTGAGACGGGCCTCCTGCTCCCAGGTGAAAGGGCCCCAGGCCTGCTGTGGGAGGAATCCCATGTGCAAGCGAGCGCCCAGGCCAGTGGTCGGCACCCTTCCTCAGGGAGCGCCGTGGAGGCCTTGTTCCTACTTACCGCTCCCCACTTTCTTGCAGGTACGTGTGTGTTGCCTTAAAATCAAACAGGAATCCACCCAAGGAAACGTGCAGGCTGGCCAGCCTGCCCCCGCCTGAGGCAGCAGGGCCACGTCTGCATCTCCCTCCCCCACCCTGCTGTCTCGATGCAAATCGTGTTTCGAGTTTTCCTCTTCCCTCTGCAGACAGCTAAGGGTATCCTTGGCTTCCAGTCTTTCATGATTTTCTATTCCCTTGTTGTTTTCCTGACTCTCCAGCCCTAGAACCCTATCCCTGTTTCCTTCAGGGCGGGATTTGCAATGCTGGGTAGCGGTGGGGGGCGGGGGGCGTGGTGAAAGGGAAGCGGGGAGGGAGGCACAGAGCCCAAGCTCCAGGGGGGCCCCTGCCTGGTGGAGGCAAGGCTGAGCCTCCATGCGCCAGCAGCCACCAACAGGCATCCCTCGGCTGGCTCCCTCCCGCCCCCCCCTGGGTCTGCCCTGCACCTGCATCCAGGCTTGCTTCAGGGCGCCCTCCTGGGCCAGGTCCAGCTGCCCACTGACCTTGACCCACATCGCTGTCAGGAAGTGGGCCGCGGGGTATCAGACATCTTTCTCGTTCCCTCCTTCTCCCGCAAGCAAGCAGGCCTAACCCTGCATTTCTGGGAGACTTGAGATGTTGGGTTTCTGTTTGTGAGACGCATCACTCTGGGTTCGGGGCGACAAGAGGCAACTTAGCCAGGGACACGGCTGGCCCTTCAGGGTAGGGTCCAGTCCTGCCAGGACCCTGCAGTCCAGCCCTGCCCTGACTGTCTTCCTGTGACAGAGGTCACATCTCAGGACCTTCTCCTGGGTTCCCTGCTGGGACCTTTGCGGCCTGTCCACAGGGGAGGCTACCACCGCACATGAATGCTGTGGGTTGGCTGTCGCAGTGGTGGGTCTACCACAGGTCAGGTTTCTGGGGTGTCACACAGGCCGGATGCTGCCTTGTGGCTTGCGGAAGCTTGCCCTGGTCCCAAAACTCAGGAGCCCACGGACCTTCCCTGTCAGTGGTCACACATGGCCTGTCTTCCTTTTGCCAACCTATTTGTCCATCTGTTCATCCCTCTGTCCTTCTCTCTTCTTATCCATCTATCTGTTCATCTGACTGTCCATCCGTCTGTCTGCTGGAGCTTGTGCCCAGCAGGAGGTCAGGCTGCTCCAGGAAGCAGATGCTTTCTCGGAGGACCTGGTAGAGGGACCCAGAACTGACCCTCAGCCTCAGCTCAGCACAAGCACTGCCAAGACCAGCCACACGTGCCGACCCTCGCCTATGCCCCAGCTGCCCGGAGTGCCCGGTGTGCCCCAGCCTTCCTCGAGACACCATAGAAAGCACTCCAGTCCTCCCATGCACTTGGTGTTGAGCTGTGGGTAGACGTCAGGTAGATGGATCTGCACAGCACACCTTGGGTCAGGACCCAGAACAGCCCAGTCCAGAGGCTCCCCAGGGCCGCCCCAGTGACGTCACCCCCCAAGGCAGCTCTCCGGCCTCTGTCCCTTGGGTACACAGTATAGGCGCCCCTGACTAACACAGCCTGGGTTTCGGTCAGTGGCGGGGCCAGGGCCACTGTCATGTAACGGTGGGTTTCGGCTGGGAAGGAACATGCTGCCTCATGTAGGGGACTGTGGCTGGGTCCCTGGGGCGAGAGGGGCCCAGAAGCTTGTCCCCAGGGATTGGCATGCGTTTCCTGCAAATGTGCTTCCCATGAAGGTGCTTTCCAAGGCACAGGCACCCCAGCCCTCCACCTGTCTCTGGTCAGGTCTGCCCTACAAGCTACCTTCTGGGAGTGAGCAGATGCTCAGGCCGGCCCTTTCAGGAGGACTTAGGCCCAGCTGCAGGCAGAGGGCCAGCCTCTTGCCTGCCTAGCACGCTGCATGGCTCTGAGGCTCAGCCCGTGGGAACCCCATGCTTGGAGGGGTGTCGGCTGCCGTCTGTCAAGTTATCTGACACTGGCTGTGAGGTCCTTGGGGCTGGCTGTTCTTACTCTCATCTGTTAAAATGTCCTGAGGCTTGTTCCTCGCCTATCCCGTGGCAACACCAGCCCCTGACACACCAGCATTTGCACCAAGAACACAGCATGTCCGGATTTCGTGGGCAGGCAGGGCCAGCAGCTGGCCTCTTCCTAGGCCTGCCTCTACCTCTTGTCCCAGGCCTGGCGTGAGAAGCCAGCTGCAAGCCACTCCCTGGACATGCCTCTCCCAAGGCCCAGGGAACCCCGGCACCCAGGCAGTCAGAGCCAGAGCTGGCCCACTCTGGGCTGCCCTCCATGAGTGATTTTCCCGAGTCCTGGGGTCCCTGTCGCTCCTGGGAAGCTGTTCCACGTTCGTCACGGTGTGGCACAGAGTGTGCCTTCCCTCGGCCCCGTCGGCTGCAGTCTGTCACTGGGGCTGCTGGCCTGTGGAGACCCAATGGCAGATCCCCAGCCTTGGCCTGCAGCCCCCACGGCCTCCCCCGTACCCTGCGCCCCCCCAGTTTTCCTCTGCGGCCCCTCTAGCCTCAGACCATGACCTCCCAGCCCCTGCTGGCAGTCCTTGGCCCAAACAGCCTGTGGCATCATTTGCAGGAAATGTCTTCGGAGCAAATCCTTTCCTATTTTCTCGTATTGCCCTAAATTTGAGGTTTTTCCTGTCAAAACAACATCTTGTATTGAGGGACTCTCTTTAGCCTCTTGTGTCCTCAAAACCTCAAGCCTATTCCTTGTCAGTAGCTGCTATGCTGGCTGTTGTCTGGGGTCCAAGCTGTGAGCTCCTGCTCACAGGTGGGACAGGGCAGAATGGAGCAGAGGTGTAGGCCTAGGCCCTTGGCCCGTACCGTCCTCTGATGAAGACACATGTGCCCGGGTCTTTGGCCATCACATCCTGTGGTGACACGTGTGCCGTGTGGCTGGCCTAGTTGCTGACGGACACCTGGTCATACCCCTGCCCCCTGCTCAGCGTGGGGGGGTCTTTGAGGACTACAGTGTGTTTCTGCCTCTCCTGCAGCTGCTTGCAGTCAGGGTGGGCTTCCTCTGTCTCTGGGGGGCAGAATGGCACTGATCTTTGCAGTCAGGTGGGTGAATCCACCAGCAGGGTGACGGCATTATACCATGGCTCTGGGCCACGCTCTCCTCCTCTGCCCTCCACCCCCCCGCTGCCTGGGTGTCTCTGGTCCACGGGTAGGTCTGAGGCTCCTGAACTGCCCCGTGAGCGTCTGTCATGGCCTCCATTGCTTCTCCAGCTGGGCAGGTTCCCCTGTGGGGTGAGGCAGGGCCATGACTTCTCGCGGTCTCCCCGGCTGCCATCTCGCTCCACTCCTCATCTCCAAGCCTCTGGCAGGCTGGGTATCTCTGTTTTTGCTAAGGCCCCGCCCTGACACATGTGTTCCCTGCAGACCCCGCGCATGGGCACCTTCATCGGTGTGTACCTGCCCTGCCTGCAGAATATCCTGGGTGTCATCCTGTTCCTGCGCCTGACATGGATCGTGGGGGCGGCTGGCGTCCTGGAGTCCCTCCTCATCGTGTCCATGTGCTGCACCTGTGTGAGTGTCCCTGCAGGGACTCTCGGGGCCATTGCCTTAGCCCCAGGCTTGCCTGCTTAGACACCACCCCAAGAGGGACCGGGCACAAGTACAGGGAATGTGGGCGTCACGCTGGGCCAACTCTGGCTCCATGGTCTGCCTGGTGGATTCTGGCATCCAGCCAATGTCACATGGCAGCATCCGTGGCCAGGGCTCTGGGGGTGGGGCGTGCCACTCACCGAAGGGTCCTGTTTTGACAGGATCACCTCCAGTTTGGAAGGACCTCGGGCATTTTCAGGAGTCCTCAACATAGAGACAGGGTTGTGGGCCGGTGACAGCCTCAGCTCCGTGGACCCCCTGTGTTGCCGGACCTGCCGGCCTCCGGGGTGTCCTTGTCTGCTCCCAGGAGTCCCTCCCCGCCAGTTCCTCACCTTCCCTTCGTTCCCATGAGGGAGTGGAGTTCAGGTGTTTTGTTACCCGTGGTCACCTGGATCTTCTGTCTGGGAGAAGTCCAAACCGCGGATGAGCGGGGTCCCCTTTGACCCCAGATCTGGCCTCCCACCCACCTGTCCTCTAGGCTAGCTCATCCCTCCCGTGTGGCTGCCAAGGACTTTCTGGTGCCCTCACAGCCTTGTTGAGCAGAGGGGGCAATGGGAGGCAGGGCTGGCCTGAGACCCTCTCTGGGAGCTCAGTAGTGCCCATGGGACATGGGTACCTGACGGCCCCTTGTGTCCCCGGGGAGGCAGGTATCCAAGGGTCCCTTGTGCCCCTGGGGAGGCACATACCCAAAGGTCTCTTGGGCTCCCTGGGGAGGTGGACATCTAGAGAGCCCCCTTGTGCCCCACGCGGGCACCTAGACAGAGCCTGTGGGGTCTGCCGGTGTCCTGAGTCAGTTTTCCAGTGGCCTTGGGAGCACAGCTTATAGGTCACCCCAGATGCCCAGGCCTGGGCCCTCAAGCCACCCGGCTCTGGTCCGTCGGCCCCTCCTTTGAGATGAGAGCTGGGCATAGGGTGCCTGTGGGGAGCCAGGCCACAGACCTGTGCCCCGTTGGCCTGTCTGTCACCAGCAGGCCCTTGGGGACACAGTCCTGACACACGGCCTGTCTTCTCGCAGACCATGCTGACGGCCATCTCCATGAGTGCCATCGCGACCAACGGTGTGGTCCCAGGTAGGTGCTTACCTCGTGGCCTTCAGAAGACCCTTCTGTGGCGGTCACTGGGGCAGCGGGCGAGGCTCGTCTGCCTCTGCGGGCTTCCTGGTGTCAGAGCTCGTGCCGTCACGCTGTTTCTCTCCCCCATCTTATGCCTGCCTATGCTGGGGCAGCAGGGGGCAGAGGAGGGCCCTTGACTGTGGCACCTATGGCCCAGTTTGTGCCGTGAGCTGAGTTCTTTGGACATTGGTCTCACGTGAAAAGGTACAGGACAGAACACTGTCCTGTGTGTCCACAGGCTGTGTGTCCTGTGTAGGCATCAACGGGCCCAAGCTTTAGCCGCCTCCGAGCTTCCAGCCAAGCCGGGTGCAGCAACACCGTGTGGCCCAGGCTCATGTGGCAGGGAAGGTGTCTTCCTCCGGCTGAGGGAGTGTGTGAGGGGTCACGCAGTGGGTCTTCACGGCTGCCGGGACACCAGTCTCCGTGTCCTCGTGACTGTGTCAGGGAGAGACCTGTGGGCCGAGCCCAGCTGGAAGTTGTTGCCCACTCATGCTGCACAGGCACGGGGGTCTCCAGTCGGGCTTGTCTGCCCTGGCATGCCAGCCATGCCCAGTGCAGCCCAGTCATTGGACTGACTGCAGGGTTGGGGGTGTCAACTGTGCGGAGAGGGTCTTTAGTGTGTTGTGGACAGTGCACACAGCCTCCAGCAGCCCCAGGTTCTCTGCCTTTTTTAAAAACAAGTTAGCAGATCAGGGTTGGGTGTGACATCAGAAACGCAGACCTGGCTGTGGGGGCTGCTCAGGATTTCGCACCTTCCAGCCTGGGTGTCCTCGTGAAAGCAGCTTCTCTAAGAGAGCGAACCACGTTGTGCAGAGCAGGAGGGTTGCCATCTCGCGCAGGCGGGTGGGCGGGTGTGTGGCCGCCGCGTCCCCAGCACCAATTCAGGCTGTCCTTGGCATTCACCCGTGCCATATGACCTCCAGAACGTGAGTGCATGGCGACTGGCACCCTGACCTGTGCTCCTTGGTGGTGATTCTGTGTCTGCAGCCGGTGGCTCCTACTACATGATTTCGCGGTCCCTGGGGCCCGAGTTTGGCGGTGCTGTCGGCCTCTGCTTCTACCTGGGCACGACGTTCGCGGGGGCCATGTACATCCTGGGGACCATTGAGATCTTCCTGGTACGTGTGCTGCCTTGGCCTGTTCCTCCTGCTCCGGGTCTGCACAGGCCGCCAGGGTTCCGCCCAGCCCTGTGCCTACAGCGCCCCAAGCTGCCTGACTTGCCCTGAACACCCCCTCCCGCCTCCCACTCCCATCGCCCTCTAGGGCTGGCGCATTCGTCTCCACGGCTTTGGCCCGTGGCCAGCATCCACTCAGCAGTGACGTGTGTCCCCCTCCAGATGCCCTCGCAGCCCTGAGTGGTTAGGCCTGGTGCATCTCGGTGGACGCTGTCCCAGGGTGGCTGTGTGGCCCCCACATCTGAACAGTTCTAAGAGGCAGGGCCAGACCTCTGCCCTCGGCCCAGGCACCAGCCCCTACCTGTGTCTTGCTTGACTGGCCTGTGCCCTTAAGCAGTCGGTCATATACAGGGTGCAGCCAGGTGTCATCCTTCCAGACAAGTCCGGCTTGGTGCGCCACACGTTCCTGCCACTTGAGCACGACAGAGCACCACCACCTGAGTTCTACAGTCCCTATGCGGACAGGCACCCCTCCCCCAGTGGCGTTCTGTCTGCACATGCCGTGCCTCTGCAAGGCCACAGGGACACCTGCCTGAGCCCCCGTCCCTCGTCTTCCTGCCTCCACCTCCCCTGCCAGATCTAGTTTCTGGCCCCTGAGTTGATGGAGCTAGCCACATGGCCTGAGAAGGTTCTGGAAATCTTCAGTGGGGTCAGGCTTGACACCTGCTCCACCCGAATCTCCAGCTCTCATCCCGCAGTCTTTCCATCTCACCCACACGCGAGCCCCGGCCCTGACAGGTCCAGCTGCCTCTCCTGCCTGGGCGTCAGTGCCCTCTGGGTCTTCTTTAGTGGGCGGTGGGCATTGTGCTCCCAGCCTTGTTGTGAGTCCCCCAGTTCTGTCCTCGTCTGAGGGAGTTGGTAACCACTGTCTTGACACGGTGTGCGCATGGCAGGCATGGTCAGCCCTGGGTCTGCCCGGAGGTCCTGCCGGACTGGTTGCATCCATGCCACAACTCCCAGCAGAAGGCATTTGGCTTGACACAGTGGTTCCCTGGGATGATCTGCTTTGCTGTGTGGCCCCAGCTCCCAGTCGGACAGCGTATCCCCTCTGGGGCGGCATGGCCTGCGCCAGAGCTGTGTGGCGCGTCCAGGTCCCTGGTGCCTGGTGGGAGGAAGCCCTTGGGTGGCATGGGGCTCGTGGGCAGGCCGGGCCGGGACGTGGTGAGTGACGCCTGACCGTGTCACCTGCAGACCTACATCTCGCCCAGCGCAGCCATCTTCCAGGCGGACACGACCGGCGAGGCGGTGGCCCTGCTGCATAACATGCGCGTATATGGCACGGGCACGCTGCTGCTCATGGCCCTGGTGGTCTTCGTGGGCGTCAAGTACGTCAACAAGTTGGCCCTGGTCTTCCTGGCCTGTGTCGTGCTGTCCATCCTGGCCATCTATGCCGGTGTCATCAAGTCTGCCTTTGACCCCCCTGACATCCCGTGAGTTCCTGGGGCCATCGCGGGGCTGTTCATCGCTGGGGCCACTGAACCATGGGGGGTCTCATGGGCTCTGCCCCCTCCCTGGCCCAGGCCTAGGCTCCCGAGGGCTTCTCCCAGGGACTATGCGAAACCTAACCCGGCGTGGTGCTGCCACAGTGCCCTTGTAGCTGGGTCTGGGCACCTCTGGGGTCTGCAGGTACTGGGGAGGCCCCCAGGATGGCCAGGCAGTGGAGCGTCTTGGGGGTGGGCTGCCATGTCCATTCCACCTCTCAGAGGCCTCCAGGTGGGCGCTCGTCTCCTCCTGCCTTTGGAATAGGAGGTGGGAGCTGGGTTAGCCCAGCTCCCTGAGGGGTTCCTGGCTGTGGTGCTCCAGGGGGCAGGTGGGGCCGAGCCCCCATGGTCCAGCGTTTTGTCTACCCAAGAGGGAAGAGCCTTGTCTGGGCCCCAAATGGGAGGGGTAGCCCTATGCCACATGAGCCTTCTGTAGGAAAGGCAGCCCCACTTATCCTTGGGGTGCATTCCAAGACCCCAGTGGGCGCCTGGAACCTCAGATGGTCTAGCCCTAGGGCATGCCTCTCCCCAGACATGCACACCTGTCGGAAAGTCTAGTACATAACCTGGGCTCGGCCTGGCTCTGTGGGGCCGTCATTACGTGAAGTGAAGGCAACTTGACCCAAGCAGAGGAACCCAAGCCAAGCTGACCCCACCCCTAGTGGCTCCTAGCACCTCACGTGGGAGCAAACAGTGTGGAGGGGGAGGGGGAAACCTGTGAGACTTCATCATGCCACTCACAGGAAAGGTTCAGGAACGGTTTCCTTCTAGAATTTTCCTTCTGATGCGTTTGGACTAGGGTTGGCTGAAATGTGGGGTCTCCTGTACCACAGGAAGGGCCTGCAGGGTCCACACAGGTCTGGTTCCTAGCGTGTCCCCGACTTGGGAGGAGTCAGGGTCAGAGGCCCATGGGGTCCGGGGCTCGCGCCGCTGGGCGGGAGCAGCCTGACGTCCTTTCTAAGGCAGCGTGGCACATGTCCCACCCAGGGTCTGTCTCCTCGGGAACCGCACGCTGTCCCGGCGCGGCTTTGACACCTGCACCAAGGTGCTGGATGCCCACAACGGCTCGGCCGCCACAGCGCTCTGGGGCCTCTTCTGCAACAGCTCTCAGCCTGGCGCCGCCTGTGATGAGTACTTCACCCAGAACAACCTCACCGAGATCCAGGGCATCCCGGGCGTGGCCAGTGGCGTCCTCCTGGGTAGGTGCCCACGTCCCGGCTGGGGCCGGCCCCCGTGGGCACAGTCGCCAAGGCCACTCCCAGGGTCTGGCCCCTTCTGCCTGGCCGAGTCTGCAGGGTCCTACCCAGCCAGCCTGAGGCTGGGCTGCCCCTCCCAGTGCTGCCCCTGGCCTGCATGACCCTCTGCAGCTGCCCTCTCCGAGCTGTGGAAGCCAGTGTGGAGAAGACCTCCAGCAGGCTGACTACCTTGATGTCAATTCATTCCCATGACTCCGTAGCCACGTGCAGGGCAGCTGCTGTGTCAACACGGGGAATAGTGAGCGGGTAGCACCCAGGGTTTCCACCATACGTCTTTCCTGCTGGGAGCATCGTTGGGGACCCCCCAAGGACAGGCTGAAAGCTTCAGGGCAGGGTCTTTCCAGACAGGACCTGCTCCCCGAACCGCAGGCCATGTTGTGGGGGCATGTGTGTTGGGAACGTGGTGTTTCCTGGGCGCTGAGGTCTCCCCTGCCTAGGTCCAGCCAGGTGGTTTTCTCAGGGGCACATTCTCGTGCCTGGTGTCCCATTGAGTGTGAAGTAGGGAGGGAGAGGGCAAGCCCGTGGCCTTTACCTCAGCTGCCGCTGGCATCTGCCAGGATGTGGGGCCCACAGCAGGAACCGACGGAGGGTGCCAGGATCCCATGAGGACGTCTCCCCGCTGGCCTGTTCTCCGCCCACAGATAACCTGTGGAGTGCATACGCAGACAAAGGGGCGTTCGTGGAGAGGAAGGGCGTGCCCTCGGTGCCTGCGCCGGATGAAAGCCGCACCAGCACGCTGCCCTACGTGCTCACGGACATTGTGACCTGCTTCACGCTGCTGGTCGGCATCTACTTCCCCTCTGTGACCGGTGAGCCGTGGCTCCTGCCGCCCTTGGCTCATCCCACCTCTTTCTCTGTCAGTCTCTCCCACTGTCTCATGTCTCTCCCTGTTTCTCCTGGTCTCTTAGTCTCTCCTCTCTGTGTCTTCTCCCTTTGTGTGTCTCTGTCTGTGTCTCTGTTTCTCAGACTCTCCCTCTGTTTTCGTCTCTCCCTTCCCCTCACTCTCTTGCTCTCACTCTGTCTCTCAGTCTTTGTGTCTCCCCTCTCTCTGTGTCTATCTCTGTCTCTCCATCTCACATTCTCTCTTGGCTCTGTCTCTCCTCTCTCTCTGTCTCTTCATCTCTGTCTTCCTCTGTCAGTCTCTGTGTCTCCTCTCTCTCTGTGTCTGTCTCTCTCTCCCTCTGTCTCTCCTCTGTCTTTCTTGGCTCTGGTCTCGGTCTGTTAGGAGATGCCCAGTGGCAGCCTCTGAGAGAGGCCAAAGGCCAGGAGCCTCGGCCCTTGCGTCGTCACCAAAGAGTGGCCTCGCTCTTCCGAGGGGTAGAAGCCCTAGTTCATGCCCCCACCCTGTCCACTCCCGGATGCTCATCTGTGCACACACCCGGGTGCACACCCCCCCAAGGGCCCTGGCGCTGCCCCTCCAGTCCTCACCCACATCTACTCCCGGGGCTGCCGCCTCCTAGGCTTTTTCTCAGTCTGTCCTGAAGCCTAATGCTTGGGAGCAGGGGAGTGGGGGCTCACTCGGAGGTTTCTCTGTACCCGCGGGCCAGGCCCATGAGGCTTTTCCCTGTGCCCACCTAGCCTCCCCCAGCCGTCCAGAGTGCCGGGTACAGGGGACGCAGGGCAGGACCTCTGTGGCTCCAGGCGTGTCTGTCTGAGGTGTGGGTCCATGTGGCCCTAGCACATGGGTGCCTCCGTTGGGCTCACAGGAGGCGTCATGCAAGCCCCCACAGGCCTCTCTGAGCTGGCTGGAACTGGTCTCCCTGCCCCGGGTAGGAGCCTTGAGTACGAGGGTGGTGTAGATGCCCTGTGAGAGTGGAGGCTACAGGTCAGCTGGCTGGTGCAGCCGGGCTCTGGTGGCCTTGGGTCACACCCCCAGGATCCCTAGATCCAGGCTGGACCCAAGGGTTGGGTTGGATGCCGTCTCCTGACTGACTCGAGCAGGAGGGGCGAGGCTCATGCACAGGACCCTGGCCTTGCAGACGTGGCCCCAAGATCACGCCCAGCGCCGGCAGCAGAGGCCTCGTGTGACTGTGCCTGGGGCAGGTCCTGGAGGTGTGTCCTGGCTGCGATGACGGGGCCCTTTGTCTTGCAGGCATCATGGCAGGCTCGAACCGGTCCGGGGACCTCAAGGATGCCCAGAAGTCCATCCCCACGGGGACCATCCTGGCCATTGCCACCACGTCCTTCATTTGTATCCTTGGAGGGTTGGGGCGCATCCGCCTCTGCCGGGGGAAGAGCCCCTCTAGTCAGGGCCGCCCACAGGGGGCTTCTGGTCCTGGTGGCTCTGACCACATCATCCTCCCTCAGTGGGGGCTAGAGCCACCAGGTGACTCAAATAAAACATGACTCAGGACCCTGGCTTCCCTCACCATCGGTCGCATGATATGTTACATGTAGAGCACATGGGACAGTGCCCTCGCATGCGGCGTTGACGTACAGCCTCAGGTGTGGCATATGTCACGTGACGGGTTGTGTCCTGCCAGCACTGGTTTCTGAGTCCCAGGAGCCCTTTTCTCCCAGCTGAGCTCGGTCCCCACAGCAAGTGTCCCTTGCTGTCCCTTGCAGTCGAGCCTCAGGTTGTTCATGTCCTGATCCCCCAAGCCCCCATTCTTTTGGGCTACATGGAACCTGGGGGTGCACCCTGGGGTGGGGGGACAACACCCGGGACGAGTTGGGCACGGCTGGTCCTGCCCACCTGGAGCGGGGCCCTGCCACCAGCATATCTGCCGCCCAACCTGCGGTGTGGATGCACCCTTCCTTGACCACGGCGGATCTGTCTTGCATCGTGTTGTTTGGGGCCTGCATCGAGGGCGTGGTCCTGCGTGACAAGTACGTTTTGCCTGCAGTTCCTTCGGGCTATGTGTGTGGGGGTCCCCAGGGTGTCTTGAGTGTTGAGGTCACATTGCCCGGGGCTTCAGTCACGTGGGGCAGCATGGGCAGCTCCCCATGTGGGTCTGAAGCATCTGAGAGCTAGGACTGGAGGCTGGGGACCGCTCAGGACAGCCAGGAGCCATTGGGAGCTGGGGGTGCAGGGGAGACTGTGGGGTACAGACGGCGAGTGAGAGCTCTAGGAGGCCACCAGCCCTGCTGCCCACTGGAGTGGTAGGAGCCCCAGGAAGGGGTTGTGGACCCTGTGCCCTTGGGGGTCTGCCTGCCTGAGGCCCCGGGGCTCCGAGTGGTCCCTGACAGCCTGTCTGCGGGAGGGACCAAGGTCGGGTGTCTTCCCTGTTCCTGAGAGCAGCACGGCCCCTCCTGCTCTGCAGCCCCTGCAGAGGGTGCCGGCCCAGCCGGGTGGACTGCAGGGGACCCTCTGGCCCCATGGGGCTAGAGACCAGGCCCCATCCTCTTTCTGAGGCATCCATTGTGGCAGGAGACATGCATGTGGCATTGTGGCCGTTTTGAAGGCTGAGCTGACCACCTGCCCACCCACAGGTATGGGGAGGCCCTGCAGGGGAACCTGGTCATCGGCATGCTGGCCTGGCCGTCCCCCTGGGTGATTGTCATCGGCTCCTTCTTCTCCACCTGTGGCGCTGGCCTGCAGAGCCTCACGGGGGCGCCCCGCCTGCTGCAGGCCATCGCCCGCGACGGCATCGTGCCCTTCCTACAGGTGAGCTCCAGCGCCTGCGCCCATGGCTTGGGGCCGCCTCCCCTGGGGGAGGGAGCCCAGAGGTGAGGGTCTGGGAGGTGCCCCAGGCCCTGCTCCCAGTGACAACTGCAGTGCTGGCCACAGGATGCACGTCCCTACTCAGGCCCCGTGGCAGTCACCTGGCCCTGCGGGCCACTGGGCTGGGCGCAAGGGTGTGGTGGGCAGATGCAGCCCTCAACCTCCGGCCTGTGGGTCTCTCTGCACTCGGGCTAGTCCTAGGAGTGCCTGTCAGGCGCCATTGCCTCTTGGATCCTGGCTACCCCCTGTGTTCCCGCCAGGGTCCTTGCCCATACATACTCTCCTTTCCCCCCCTGCCACGTCTTTCTCTGTGATGGGCAGTTATTCCCCCCGGGACCAGGCAGCAGGGCCATCTGAAGCTTGGACAGGTGCCTGTCCAGCCCCTGCCACGTGCTGCACCTGGAGCCCTCACGCAAGGCTCTCCCTCTGGTTACCGGGTGGGGCAGCTGTGGGAAAGTTGTGCTGGGAGCCCCCATGGCCAGCCTGTGGCCTCAGGATGCACTGGCCGCTGGCGTGCGAGGTGCTGCTTGGAAGGTGGGGTGGTTGCCCCTTGTCTGCCCCAGCAGGGCCTGGGGAGAAGGCAGGCACGCAGGGCCCTTGGGTTCCGGAAAGTGCACGTGGCCCGCTGAGCAGGCCGTTGCAGGGGTCGAGGGACTGGGAGTGCCGGAGATGCTGGTCCAGTGTGGCTGAGAAAACAGGCAGTTGGTGGTAGTCTGGGGCCACACAGGTCAGGGGCACGGCCGGGGCCAGACATACCTCTGGGCTGGAGTTTCCTGGCCTGGCTGGATGGCGCTTCCGCCTGCCAGCACTCGGCATCCTCGAGACATGCTGTCGGGTGGGCCTGACTCACACGTGGCTTCTCCCTGGGGCCGGGAGGGCCTTTTCCCATCCCCACCTGCCCGGCCTCTGCCCTCACCCTCCCCCACCCCCCCACAGGTGTTCGGCCACGGGAAAGCCAATGGGGAGCCCACGTGGGCACTGCTGCTGACGGTCCTGATCTGCGAGACTGGCATCCTCATTGCCTCTCTGGACAGCGTGGCCCCCATCCTGTCTATGTGAGGCTCAGGGGGGGGAGAGGGGACATGGGGGCAGCGTGGGATGGGGACACAGAGGCAGCGGGGGAGGGAGGCGACATGGGGGTGGGGGCAACGAGGCCTCACCGTGAGGTGAGTCAAGCTTGGGCAGGGTCGGCCACCTCACGGCCCGGGCAATCCTGGTCCTGACCCACCCTGCAGGTTCTTCCTCATGTGCTACCTGTTCGTAAACCTGGCGTGTGCCGTGCAGACGCTGCTGCGCACCCCCAACTGGCGCCCGCGCTTCAAGTACTACCACTGGTAAGCCCTGGTGGGGTCTCGGGGCAGTGAGGCCGCTGTCTGTGCCCAAGGACCCCAGGATCCTTCTGTGTCGAGTAGCACAAGCCTGGCCCTGTCCCTGCACCTTGGGACACGTGCACGCGTGTGGCTCGGGGCCGGGTGCACGTGTGGCTCAGGCCAGCGCCTGCCCTGCCCATCTGCAGGACCCTGTCCTTCCTGGGCATGAGCCTGTGCCTGGCACTGATGTTCATCTGCTCCTGGTACTACGCCCTCTGTGCCATGCTCGTCGCCGGCTGCATCTACAAGTACATCGAGTACCGTGGGTGAGCCGGCCCCTCTTGTCCCACTCCATGCGCAAGCTTCCCTGGGATCTGGGTGTCGTGGTTGGAGGGTCCCGCCCTGGCGCACCAGCTCACCCCCTCCCACAACAGGCAGCGCCCTCTGGGTGAGCCAAGCCCAGGCCTCGCTCCCGTGTGCAGCCAGGTTGATGTGCCTGAGCTCCTGGGATGGGGTTTCCACCCCGGCATATGGTCTGCGCTGGTCTCATGGCCCATTCTGTCTTCCGTGTTCTGTGGGACCGGCCAGGCTGCAGATTGGGCCACACAGCTGTCCACATGGCACCACAATCGCCCTTCCAGGGCCCTTTGTGCACCGGCCCCTGCTTTTCTGTGGGCTGCTTGTCCTGTGCCATCGATGCCGGACGTGGGCTCTTGGAAAGGGCTTCCTTCCTGTTCAGGGTCATGGGCACTGGGGCTTTTCCTGGGGATGCCGTCTACCACTCTGACTCCCATGGAGGGAGACGTGGCCTCCGAGCAGGAAGGCCTCTCCTGCCCTTTCCCAGCAGTGGGGCCGACAGGGCTGGGGTCTGCCCACTGGTGGCACCACAGAGGACGGGCTCTGGGGCAGCTCTGCCCTGACTGCTACATCTGCAGAGCCCCACGTCCTCCGTCCCCATGGCCCTAACGGTCCCAGTGGTGGCCCCGCCGACACCCTCCCATCCCACCCAGAGCCCCGTCCACCCCTCCTCCCACGCTTCCTCTATCCCTGCAGCAGAAACCCACATTGAGTTGCTGGGAGACACTGGTGGGGGGTCCCCATGGGCGGGCACTGGTGTCCCTGTGTGCCACTGGTCGAGCCCCCACCCTTCGCCCAGGGCCGAGAAGGAGTGGGGTGATGGCATCCGGGGCCTGTCGCTGAATGCCGCCCGCTATGCCCTGCTGCGTGTGGAGCACGGCCCTCCCCACACCAAGAACTGGAGGTGAGCACCACACCAGTGGGCGCAGGGCCTGAGCCAGACTAGAGCAGGGCGTCCACCTGTCTGGGGGCCACACTGGCTGTGGGCTTCTTGCCGTCCATGCAGAGAGGTCCTGAGGTTGGGGGAGGGCTGTGGCCTCAGAGCAGGACGAGTATCTCTACTGTGGGGAGGAGTCACAGCCCTGTGGGGAAGACTTAGAGCCCTGGGGGGAGGGGTTACAGCCCTGGGGGAGGGCTTCTCTGAGGGAGGGTTCCCCACAAAGAAGCCCCTGTCTCCCCTGTGGGTACCAGGCACGGGCCACTGTCTTGCTTGTGTCACTTGGTCCACCTGACTTGCGGATTCTTCCTGTCGATTCACCTGTGTCACTTGCCTGGCCCATTCCACCTGTCCTGCCTGTCACCTGCCTGACCCATCCCACCTGTCCTGCCTGTGTCATCTGCCTGACTTGTCTCACCTATCTGCCTGTGTCATCTGCCTGACCCGTCCCACCTGTTCCGCCTTTTTTACCTGTCTCACCCATCTCACCTGTCCCGCCTATGTCATCTGGCTGACCCATCTCAACTGTCCCGCCTGTATCACCTGCTTGACCCATTTTACCCATCCTACCTGTGTCACCTATCCGACCCATCTCACCTGTGTCACCTGCCTGACCTGTCTCACCTGCCTCACCTATCCTCCCTGTGTCACCTGTCCCACCTGTGTCACCTGATCTGTCTCACCTGTCCCACTTGTGTCACCTGCTTGACCCAACTCACCTGTCCCACCTGTGTCATCTGACTCGTCTCATCTGTGTCACCTGCCTGGCCCGTCCCACCTGTTTTACCTGTCTCACCTATCTCACCCATCTCACCTGTCCCACCTGTGTCACTTGACTGACCCATTTCACCTGTCCCGCCTGTGTCACCTGCTTGACCCGTCTAACCTGTCTCACCTGTGTCACCTGCCTGACCCATTCCACCTGTCCCACCTGTGTCACCTGTCTGACCTGTGTTACCTGTATTACCTGTAGCATCTGTTTGTTTTACATCTCCCATCTCACCTGTCTCTCCTGTCTCACCGACGGGGTCTGGGGACAGGACCTAATGGGGGATGGGGTCCTGGGGCGGGCTGGCTTGTCTCTCTTGTTTCTCCTCTCTCCTGTCTCACTGATCTCTCCTGTCTTTCCTCTATCACCTGTTTCACCTGTATCACCTGCCTCACCCTTCTCTCCTCTCTTACCTATGTTTCCTCACCTGCCTCTCCTGTCTCCCCTCTTTCTTTCTCACCTGTCCTGCCTATCTCTCCTGATCCACCTGTCTGTCTTACCTGTCCTGCTTGTCTGTCCCATCGCACCTGTCACACCTGTCCTGCCGTCTCTTCTGCCTCGCCTGTCTGTCTCTCCCGTCTCCCCAATCTCACCTGGCCACGGGCACTGCTGCTTCCCCTGTCCCGCAGGCCTCAGGTGCTGGTGATGCTGAACCTGGACGCTGAGCAGTGTGTGAAGCACCCCCGTCTGCTGTCCTTCACATCCCAGCTAAAGGCCGGCAAAGGCCTGACCATCGTGGGCTCGGTGCTGGAGGGCACCTACCTGGACAAGCACGCAGAAGCACAGCAGGCCGAGGAGGTGTGTGAGGTGGGGCCCAGTGGGGTGGGGTCCTGGGGTGGGCTGAGCAGGGTGGTCCGTGGTGTTGATTCCATGCTGTGCTTTTCCGTGGTCCTTGTCCCCTGACACTGCTGCCCTGGGGTGTGTCATCTCCATGATGCTCCCTAGTCTTTATCTCATGGTGCCCTGATTCTGGTGCATAGCAGGATCTCTGTGTCTACTTGTGGCCAGTGTCCTGGGGCATGTTACCTCCACGTGTCCTTTTCCAGGCCACTGTGCTCTTAGAAGAGATTCCAGGGCTAGCACCTCCCTGAAGCGTGAACTCCAAGGGTCTGAACTAAGCCTGCTGTCTGTCCTGGCCGCACGTGTGAGCGTGTGTCCGTGCTGCACATAATGGGGTGGGGAAGGGATTCGTGTGACTGTTGGGGATGGTGGGGCTCTTAGCCGGGCTCTGCCATGTCTTCCTTTGCCGTCTCAGGAAGAACCGCCATGAACTTTCTCTTGCTCACGTGCAAGTCCAACTTGCAGTCGGGTGATCCTTTAATTTGGGATGTGTTTGGCCGTGGTGTATTTGACGGCACCTGTACCAGGAGCAGGTCCCAATGCAGCTGGAGCTGAGTGTGTTTGCTCCTGTTCGGTGTGGAAAGGCATGAGCCTCACCGGAACTCATGCTGACTTCGTCTCAGAGGCAGGAGCAGCTGTGGACCTGGCCGCTCCCTCAGGCCTGTTCCCTTAGGCAGTGTCTGGGCTGTCATGCGTGTAGAGCCGTGTCTCCTTCAGTTGTGGTTGCTGGAGAAGTGGAAAGGTTTGGGACCACACGCCCACGCCATAGATGTCTGTGGGAATGTGGTCCTTGGAGTTGGCTGCCAGGCAGGCTTCAGGAGGGCCGTCGGTGCCCTCGGTGGGGCTCATGGCGTGGCAGTGAGCGTCCCGGCCATGGGTGTAGGCGCTCCTCCCCCAGGGGAGGCCCGTTGGCACAGAGGCCTGCCATGGCCTTCCAGCTCATCGGGGACTCGTGCCAACTGAGGCCCAGCCAATGGTGCCCAAACCGCACCGTGTTCCCACCAGACCAGGGCAGCGAACCTCTTGGGACTCCACAGGCCAGGGACTCCAGGCCCAGCTCCAGCTCCTGGACACTGTAGCGTTGGGAAGCCACCCTGTCAGAGCTTGCGCTGTGTGGCCTGCAGCCCTCAGGCAGCCGCCCTGACCTGGCTGTGGTGGGCGAGCACATCTTTCTCTGGGCTTTGGTCTCTGGCCAGACAGGAGCAGGGGCAGTGGGCCCCGTATGGCTGGTGGTTCCGGGGATGAGCTGTAGCCACGTTGGGGGTGTGAAGTGTGGCCTCTGCCCACGTGGCCCCTAGCACAGGCACTGCCCCTTCTTTCCCACCCAGCTGCTGTCCACCCCTCACCTCACTTCCAGCCAGCCTCCCCTCTCAGAGTCTCTGCTGGGTCCCCCTCGGGGCACTGTGTTCAGGCCAGTCCTGGCATCAGCAGAAACCTCAGAGAGGAGCCCATCTGCTGGCTGGACACCAGTTCCCATGTACCCTGGGCAGACGGTGGAGGAGTCCAGAGCGGAGAAAAGGCGGGAGCTGCCCCAGGAGGAACCGAGGGACTGGGGAGGGAGTTGGGTTTTGTTTTGGAAACATGTATGAGGGGCTGGGAGAGCCCAGGGGTGAACTGGGACATGGGTGTCATCAGCTGGGATCACAGCGGGGTAGGCAGGCCACTGGTGGCTCTGGATCTCTGAGCGTCTCGGGGCTGCTGTGACAGCTGGTGGCTCACAGCTGTGGATGGCAACTCCCTCGTGCTGGAGAACGGGGGCCTGATCGTGGTTGCTGGTCATACTCCCTCCAGAGGCCCCAGGGGCGGGTCCTTCCTGCTGCCTTGGCTCCAGCAAGTCCTGGAGCTCCAGGCGTCCAGGCCTGTGGCCTCATCGCCCTTCCTCTGCTTCTGTCCTCATGTGGCCTCCATCCTCACGTGGCCTCCTCCTCTCTGTCTCAAGTCTGTCCCTGCTTTTGTCCTCTCGGGATGCCTATCATTGGATTCAGGGCCACCTCGATATCTGGGATGGTCTCTGGCCATCACAACTAATCACAGTATTCCTACCTGGGTCAGGTCTACACAGACACCGCTTCCAAGTGAGGTCACAGGGTGTGGGCGTCTCTTCCTGGCGTCACCGTGTGACTTGCCATGGCAGCCTCTAGCCCCAAGCTTCTCATCTGCCTCTTGCATAGAACACAGCCACGGCACCACCCCACAGCCCTGTCTTCTGTCATGTCTCCCGGCTCAGAGCCCCAGGCCTCACACTTTAAGTGTCTGGGGCCGATGCCAGTGGGACTCAGGGTTTTATCCTGGGCCAGATTCCTCTGCCCACAGTCCCATGAGATGTCAGACTCCGGTGATTCTATATGCAATGGTAGGTCGGGGAGAGATACAGCAGGTTGTGCATTCTGGGCATGTCTGAGACCCAGCAGGGCATCCTGCAAGGGGCATGGCCTGAGGCCACACCTGTGCCCAAGGCTCCACTCAAAGGGCACCAGGAGCCCAGACACGCAGGGCTGGAGGGCGGGCGGCTGGAGAAACCACTCACACTGTGGACTTGGTGAGTAGGGTCCCTGGTCACGTGTCCAGTCTTCCGGCTGCTGGGGACACTGCCCTTGCACGTGGTACTGGTTTCTGAGGGTGTGTGCAATGCCTGTGTGGCGCTCTGTTCCTGGACTCCCGTGGGGCGCCATGGCCCTTCTTGGGAGAACCGTTCGGTCAGTTTCCAGCCTACCAGGTATACAGACATGGTCTCAGTGTCCGAGTGACATGGCGGGTCAGTCCACTTGGCGTGTGTCCAGGCCTGCCTTCCTGTCCCCTGCACGCAGCATCAGATGGGCCCTAGTCTCACTCCTCTCCCACATGCATGCACACGCATGCATGTGTGCACACACGCTGTTAGACTTCCTTCCCGCTGAGGTGGCATTGGGGGTGCCTCATGGCGGGGGTGCAGGTGTGCGCTCCCGGCCACTCCGCCCTGCACCCATGCACCCTTCTCCCGCAGAACATCCGGGCCCTGATGAGCACTGAGAAGACCAAGGGCTTCTGCCAGCTGGTGGTGTCTTCCAGCCTCCGCGATGGCATGTCCCACCTCATCCAGTCGGCCGGCCTGGGTGGCATGAAGCACAACACGGTGCTCATGGCCTGGCCCGAGTCCTGGAAGCAGGAGGACAACCCCTTCTCCTGGAAGAACTTCGTGGGTAGGTGTGCGGGCCCTGGGCTGTGCGCCGCCCCACCTGAGCCACCCAGGTTGGGCACCGGTCCCAGGCCCAGGTTCTCCTGGGGCTGCTGTGGTCCTGGCCATGTGAGTGGCCGAGGGGAAGTCTCGGGGTGCCCCGCCCGTGTGGGGGGACTCCGGGACGTACGACCTTCAGTTACTCAGCAGCACCTCCTGTGGGCTGGGCCGGGGATCCCCAAGTAGTGTCTGGGCGAGCCCTGGAGGGTGCCGTCCCGCCATGACTCGCCCGCGCCGCCTCTCTACAGACACCGTCCGCGACACCACCGCGGCGCAGCAGGCCCTGCTGGTGGCCAAGAACGTGGACATGTTCCCGCCCAACCAGGAGCGCTTCGGCGAGG